CCCCCCCCCCCAAGCGGCAGGGACACGCACGGACATCAGCAGGCCATAGGAGTAGGAGTACAGAGTGAATCCCTGGAGAAGGATAAAGATGTTGGCCCCGATGTAGTTGGATGGGAAGGGGTGGTCTGCAAGGGGCAGGGGCCGTTGGCCCCACCGGAGGCGGTGCCTCGAGGGTCAGCACTGGCGGAACATCTTGCAGAGGGGGGGGGGGGGCGCGGGTGGGGCCGACGCCTGGTTCTCTCCTTGCAAGCCCACTCATCCCACGGCCAGGGTGTCGTACCATGATGGCGCCCCCAGCCACCGTGGTACATGGCGAAGTCCAAAATGGAGGCCATATTCATCAGGACACAGGTCACCAGGGCGTAGATGTGGTCATCAAACCAGATGATTTGAAATCTGCACCCCGAGCGGGGGAGGGGGGCGGGGTGTCAGGGCGATCGGCCGACGGTGAGGACCATGCACCGAGGAGGGCATGGCGGGAGGGGCGGCTTAGGGGGTGGCGTGGCGCGAAAGCAAACACCACTGGGCGCACCGCTTCCGAAGGGAGATCACGAAGCCCCAGACGGGGATTAGCCCGAGGGAGACCGCATGGATGACCAGCACCCAGACTGGGGCATTCTCGATGAGAATGGTGGCAATCTGGCATGCACACGGGCGCGCACGCGCATACACCAGCACCGGCGAGTCAGTGTCCGATGAAGGGCCAGCTCCCGGGAGAAAGAGAAGGCACCATGGGGGCCGCCAACGCACAAAGACAATCAGGGTGATGATCATCGACTCGACGATGGTCCGAGCGTGGTCGACGTCGGTCTTGACCATGCGCTCGGAGCGGAAGGCCCGCTCGTACTTCTTCGACCGGAAGAGCCCTTTTGCCGGCGATGCGGGGAGGAGGTCAGATCGGGGCCAATCAAAGTGAGCCTGGGCCGGGACGGGGCGAGGGCGCGAGGCGCGGGGGAGGCAGAATGCAGGGCATACCGATGATATTCAGCCGGTTGCTCAGCTGCCGCATGATGAGGCTGCTGTTGATGTCGAGTGAGGTCTGAGGCGGCCAAGGGTCGACGGGTCAGTTTCAAGTGCGGATGGGGGGCGATCGCCTGGCGCGCCCCAGAGGGGGGGGGGGGGGCTCGACATTGCAACAGCCACACGCCGTGCCCCCCCTTCGGCCCGAGGCCGGGCCACCCTGCGTGACGGACCTTCAGCTTGGGGTTGCTGTTGAGCATGGACCCGACGGTCTTCGGGGGATTGATGTGTGACGGCAGGGGGAATGTCGGGCCGGGCTGGTGCGATGTGGCCACCTGGACCGGGAGCATGGGGACCGGCTTGGGCGGGGCCGAGCGAAAGATCTGGCGGATGATGCGCAGCCTGTCCACCGGATGGTGAGGCGAGAGAAATTCCTCGGCCTGGGCAAGGAGACGCCCTCGAAGCCGGGGGTGATGTCAGTGATGGGGCGGCAAACGCGGAGGCAGTCGGGCTTTGTCCCCTCCAGGCAGGCGACCGAGGGGGCCACCATCAGAGGGGACGCCCCTCCCCGGCCGGACCAATGCTCCGAAGCATCAGCCGACCCCACCCCGGGGGTGACACGTACGGTCGGAGGGGAGGGCGGCCTCGGTGGGGAGTGGGGCCGGTCGGCCGGGGGCAAGATGGCCGTGGCCAGGACCGGGCCCCCGGTTGCCAGCGATGCCAGACCTCCGGGCACCATCTTCGTGGGCGAGCAGGTCCTTCCTCCGAGGATACACCCCTCCGGTGGGCAATATTGGTGATAGGACACTTTGGAACACTGGTCCCGCGCAGCGACAGGCATGCTGAAAGTCCGCTCCAGACGCGGCCCCTGGCTTCCGAAGATGAAGTCCCCCTTGGCCGGGGACACCTGGCCGCCGCTGAATCCCGAGAGGCCGGTGAGATTGATGCTGGTCCCGGCGGCACCGGCGGCAGCACCGGGGCCGGTCAACTCCCGAGTGGCCGAGCTGCTTAGCAGATTGGAGCTGCCCTGGGCCACGAGGTCGCCCAGGGAATAGCCGGAGGTGATCCAATTGTTTTGGCTCGCCCGGTGGACGAGGTCCTGGGAGTTCGCCGGGCGCTGAGGCAGGGTGTGCTGCGAGCTGGCCCGATCGTGATACTGCTGGAGCTGGAGCGAATGGCGCAAGGCAAAGTGCATGGCCGTGAATTTGGCCACCATCCGAGCGCATTCGCCATCGGGAATGTCCCCGGGCTGCGGGGGGCCCAGCCGGGCGGATTGGGCTTCGGTGCTGGGAGACTGCGGGGCAGCAGATTGCCACGGCCAGGAGGCCCATGCCCGGGGCCGGGCAGGGGAATACCCGACATGGGAAAGACCGGTGTCACGGGCG